GGGGAGGGGAGGGGAGGGGAGGGGAGGGGAGGGGGACGTACGGTCTTCTGCTCCATGTCGCCATACCAGCGTAGACGGACCGCCTCTGCGCCTTCCGTCTTCTCCAGCCGCCCGAGATAAAGCTCGAGGTCCTGGTTGTCGAAATAGATGGAAGAAATAGCTAAGAATTGAGAATTAGCGAGCGAAGCAGCCCCCTCGTGATAATATGCGTACCTGCATCCTTCGGCTCGAACTCCTTATCAGGATTGAACACTGGCAGCTGGTCAGCGGGATCACTGCGGTCGTCGAACATACGACTTACCTAGCACAGGCAAATGCTTCAAGATGGCCAACTTCAAGTGAACCAGGTTATCAGGGTGGACCTACATGACACTCCAGTTAGCGCGTATCATACAGGCACTCGGCACACGTACCCAGTACTTCGTCGTCTGCCGAACGAACGCGCTCTGATTCCCGCCGGCACTCGAGTCTCCTTGAACGGGGTGACCGCGGGTCCGTACGAGGTCATATAGACGCGACAACTTGACGATAAGCCCGTCCCAGTTGTACTTGTAGAATGGCCGTTTCTCGAGGTACCCTTGGATGAACGTCGGCTTGAGCGGGCGATTTGTTTGTTTCTGTGCCCCGCGTCCAGAAGTGAGCTCCGAGCCGAACCGAATAGAACTGTAAGCGAATACGTACATCGTGTTTCTGCCGCCGCGAATGGTCGTGTGACCGGCCATATCAGAGCCTGGAGGGCATAGAGCTTTATAGGACGCACCTTGAGAATCTTCATGAACCCGGTGATGTTGAGCTTGGTATACAGTGCGAGGTCGTGCACGTCTGCGACAAGTGTAGCAACCTCTTCCTCGAGAAGAATGAACTGGTCTTCAAGCGCGTCGACAGACAAGGTATCGTCCTCGTCGTCGGTATCGTCTTCGTCGTCCGAGCCGGCGTCCTGCGTCAGCCCACTATCACGCTGCTGTGCCTCTGGGTCGGCCGAGGCTCCGTTGCCATTCCCACTGCTGGACTCCGCGTGGTGGTGACCATTTGCATACTGAGAGGACGCAACAAGACGCTTGACGGCCTTTTCGGCCTCGTTGATGCGCCGCGAGAGCTCATAGGTCTACAGGGGTGCGCGATAGGGAAGAAAGATAAACAGGGGGGTCGCGGAAAGCGCACCTTTGTCTTCTGGAAGTTGTGGATCTTGTCCAGCTCGCTCTCCAGCATGCGCGTGAATTCACGCTCGTCCTGGTCCGACCATGAGCGTCCAGTGGTCCGCGCCTGTAGCGGAAGACGTTAGTACGCCTGCAGAATGGTCGTGTGCCGCAAAGTTGAACCTTGAGCTCGCGCTTGAGCAAATTGTAGTCGATGTAAAAGGGCCGCCATTCGTTGTAAAGGTCGTTCTATGCGCTATCTGTGAGCTATGAATGGCGTAGAAGAACGTGAACAACCGACAGAGATCTTGCGCCCGAATTTCATGGCGAGGGAGGCGGTGAGAAGGGGGAAGGCGACACGGCGGTCGTGGGCGACTGGGCTGGGAGGCGAAGCGCAGGAGAGGGAATAAGAGAGCCTTATGGACCGGGTGCGCCGAGGAGGTCGAGCTGCAACTGGCGAAGAGAGCGAACGTGCGTCGGCTGTCTCCTCTGCTCAATTCCCAAAACGTCATCTCGTCTTCCTTTCTCCTGGCCCGGTCCGCCGGTTCATACTCCGCGATCTGCATCTACCCCCGCATATCGGCCGTTCTAGGCGCGCCGCTTGCTCAGACCGACGGCTTGGTTTCCTCCGCTCTCTGGCAGGCCTCTTGTACTCGAGCCGTGACTTCAATGGGCATGGCTCATGCTGGCATTATGGCATACACAAAAAGGCTCGTACGTATCTGCATGCGTGTTATCTTCGAAGGCCAACGCAAACTGGACCGGCAGTCGCACGTCCACAGGAAAATTGACAGTGCTCCTCAACAATCTATCGCCCCTATCTCCAGACGACCGCCCACTCAAGTTAAGAACTATGTTCATGCGGAGAAGTCAAATTTTCCCCCTTGGCAATTCAATATTCTCTCTTGTCCTGTAATCGTTCTGTTCAGGATCTAGGTCTACTGGACTCTACTCGAGTCTACTTGCCGCTTAAAGCTGCGCATCGATAGCGGTCTTCATGAATGCTAATCTTTCCCCTCGAGGCTCGCATATGAGGCTTTCCTGTGCGCTGTAACCCGCATCCTTTGAGATTCGAGGAACACGAGGGTGCGCAGGAGGACTCGCATATGGCAGGCGCACGGTCGTCCGAGCATACGCTGCGTTCTGCGCCCGTGCGTGCCACCGCGCGCGGTGCCCATAGACCTAATACATTTGGCGGCGGCCACAAACGCGCCAATATCCCACCGAATTGGGTTCCGTGTCATCTGCGCCGGCGCGTACGTTATTCTGCTCTTGGCCTGCGGGAGAAGCAAGTCATTTTTAACGCGCAGAATGCCGAACAAGGTGTGGTGTGGACCTACAAGTCCACATGTTCAGGAACCTGCCGTGGTTACCCACGTACTAGCAGGGCGAGCATTACGTGCCGGTAGCTGGTCCAAAGGTGGCTCTTGACCTACTTGATCCTGACAAGTGGGGTATCGATGACGGCGTTCGAGGCCTCGTTGCCGGGGAACTCGTAGGCACTGGCCCGCTCGGAGTGGACTGAGGCGCGCCGCGCCCATCCCGTTCGGTTTGTACACGAGGATCTTGTGGTTGCTTTGAGCGACGAATAGTGTGGTGTTAACTGTTGACTGTTACTATGCTTAGGATAATCGAGCATAAAATAAGGCAGTCTTACATTGGCCATGGCGTATCGCGGTGTACTGTAAGGAGATCGTGGGTCAACAGATATAGACGTATGAAACTATCAATCATAAAGTTGAAGAGCAGCACGCGGTCGTGTAAGTAGTTTGAACGCTATGCTGATGGTGGCTGTCCCAGCTCGCGGGAATATAAAAGAGGGTTCAGCGCCAGCGACAACGCATTCGGGAGAGCGTACATATGCCTCGTAACACCGGTATGTTTGCCGCCGAGTCGACTCGCCGGAGGGTATACCACCCAGCGAAGAGCCGTGGCAAGTCCGCTTTAGGTAGCGATGCAGCTCCGAGGTGCTCACTAGCATACATCAATCCCTTCCTTCAGGTTTTCGGCACCGCCAGAGAAGTCTGAACAGGTGCAAAGATAGCTTGTGAACTCAGCTTGCCCTTGTCGTGTTCGAGACGACTCGAAGTCGGTTGTGGCGGGCAAGAACCTAGTGACTAGCTGCAGGCGCATCGAGCCCTTAACGAGCGTCGAATGCACCATCCGTTTAAGTCTATGTCGATTTATGGGGTTTTAGCGGCTTGTGATAGTCATAGAAAGTGTTCTCAAAGTTGTGCAGCTTGGAGGAGTTCAGAGTTGTGGATGAGCCCAGTGCTCGCGCAGCGCCACCAACGTGCGTCGGCCAATGCCGGCGATCTGTAAATGTTATCTCGGCTGTTGCCCTACACGGGAGCCCGGCCCGCCAACCTCCATCCGAGGACGCGCTGAGTCGGACGCGTCCAAGTCTCGCAGGCCTGGTCCACCGTACGCCCACCACCGCCATGTCCAGAACAGCATCCTCCTCCCGTCCTCAACCACCAAAGCATGCAGAGACGAACGGAAAGGCACGCGGGGCCGATGATGTTGTTCGCACCAAGATCCTCCTTCTCGGCATGCGCAGGCAAGTCCGCCATCTCCCTCAATGCGACGTGAACTGGAGCGACGGTGTGCAGGAGCGGCAAGACGTCCATCCGCCAGGTCCTATTCAACGACCTCTCCCCGCGTGAGACCCTCTATCTGGAAACCACGACGCACCTAACCAAGCACACTTTCGAGTGCGTACCTCCCGCGCAACTCAGCTTTCCACTCTTTCCTTGACGAGCCGCCACCTTCAGTACGGTCATCCCGCTCGAAATATGGGATTGTCCAGGGGACACCACTCTGGAAACTCTCGATGCGCCCCTCACCCAGTTCGCCACCATGATATTCGTGATTGACATTCAGGTGAGCGACTAGTCTGATTTCACGGTAGTAACACGGCGCTCTTCAATATTCGGGCCTCTGTCTTCATCGTGTTCTGCGTAACTACCTTGGGTATAAGATACCCTCGATTCACCGGTGGCCCCGACCCTTGGGCCATAAGTTTCGTTCATTCTTCGCCATCGTCACTGGTTTCCGCACTTTGCCGTGCCAGACACCCTGCCGGTGCTGCACTTGTCGCGCAACGCTGACATCACATTGACTTTCTAGGACCTATATCAGCAGCCTATCCAGAAGCTCGTCGACTTTGTTATCACCGCCTATCAGGAGAACCCAAACATGAATCTCGAGGTCTTCGTTCACAAGGCGGATGTCCTCACCGAAGAGTACAAGATCGGTCCGTCTCGTGCCTCCCCTTCTCTTCGCAGTGCGAGTCGCTCAAACTGCCCCCTTCATGCTTGCTTAACCTCGAATTCTTATATCCATCCATGCAGAGAACTTCAGGCACATCCAGCAACGGGTGCTCTCCGAATTGGCATACATCAACTTTGAGTACGAGCAAATCCCGATCAACTTTCAGCTCACGTCTATCTACGACCATACCCTCCACGATGCCTTCTCACGCGTACTGCACAAGCTCATCGACTCGCTTCCGTATCTCGAGGACCTCCTTAACGTCTTCTGCTCGGTGGGTCATTTCCCTGCGCATCAAATTCAAACCGAAACCAACTATGGAGTAGAATTCACAAGCGACAAAGGCGTTCTTGTTTGACACCAATTCGCGACTTTATGTCGCGACGGACGCATCCCCCGTCGATCCGCCAACGCACAACCTCTGCAATGACTACCTGCAGACCCTCAACGCTTTCGGGCCACTATACAAGTGCGTCCTTTTTACCCTTGCCCCGTCTGGTGTACACATCGCCTTATACATCGCCAAGGTCCATATCGGCGAGCCCTCACCGCATGTACCCGCCCCCTCCAGACCCCACGCCCCGCTCAGCAGGCCCATCTGCCCCTGGCTCCCCTAGACCACCAACAGCCGCCGGACAATCGCACCCTACCTCGCGCGCTCAATCCCCTGCGCTCTCCTCGCATCTGTCTCCCCGAATCACGGACTCGCTCCTCCCACCACCCCTCACGACCAGCCCCGGCGCGATCGCGCCGCCCAGTCTCCCGTCATCCATCGCCCCTTCTCTGGCTACGCCTGCATCGCCTGCCCACGCCACGCCCGCGCCACCGAAGCCGCGATTCTACCCGTCCGCGGCTGCCTCGCTGTCCCCGACTGCAGCGGGCGCGGGCACGACCATGACGTACCACCTCGTCGCGGATGGACTAGCACTGCTCGCGCTCATCCCCGCGGGAGTCTTTGCGGCGCGTCGAGGGCTCGTGGAGTACAACGTCGTGTTCTTCCGAGAGGGCGTCCAGGAAATCTGCGCGGTGGAGAAGGACGCGCGGAAGGTGCCGGTGGTGTGAGCAACCGGATGGCGTTGAAGGCGCCTGGTTCGGTTTTTTCCTGTGCGAGGTTGTATATGTTTTCTTGTGCTTCATTGACGACGTCCTAGTTCAAGTCTTGGGTGCAGTGTACTTTTACATATAATCTGCTATTTGGAGTCTATTCTTGTAACATCGGGCGAGCGTACGCGTGTGCTCTTCAAGGTTGCGATGGGGGCGGTGGGACATCTGTCCCCGTGCTACCTTCGATGGGATCTAACGCTTACGCTGACATCTGTCCAATATCTTTTATACATGTTACTTGGAGGTAAATATCGTGTTCCGGTCCAACACGAAGTTGACCACCTGCTCATGCCTCAGTTCAGCTCTATTTGCTCGTCGCGCGATCTGTTGAGTGGAGCATACGGTCGCGGCGAATTCCTCACGGGGTGCGCATGTTGTATTTCATATAGACAGCCGCCACATTATTGCGCAGTCCAAGAAAATGTGTACGATCTTGCGCCCGTCACAGTTAGCGGAGTTGGTACGTCGTCGCGAGGAAACGCGCGACGCGTGCTTCTTCTCCCCAATGTTTCCGCAAGATACTGTGAGCGCGTTCAATGGCTGGCCCTCGGTACCACGCTGATGGTTAAGAGAGAACGATGAGAAGATGCATTGCTGTGTGAGCCCCTCAAGCTGCCCTATGGCGCTATATGGCCAGTGGTAGGCGTTGTCGCCCAGTGACACTTATGATAGCAAGTCGAAGATTCGCGTATGACGAGGCAAGGTCGGTTGTATACATCAAGAAACGCGGAGTACGATGGAGTATCGGCTGGTCTACCCCCCAAGAGGGATTGAATAGCTTGAACCCCTGAAAATGACGGTTCGACGTTAAATCTTGGACTCCTAGTACAGTGCAAAATTACAAACACACCTCTCATATGCCCATCTTGGAGAGCTGCTGCTTTGCCCACTCCGTGAGGTTCTCGCGCTTGCGCGTGAGCCTATCTCCCTCGTTGTTCGCGCGCGCAACAGTATTGACGTGCATGGTGTCCACCCCCTCGTTCGTCAGCTCGGTCTCCGTCGTGAGGTAGTCCTCGCTGTTGATCTGCACGGTGCACGTCTTGCGCTCGATGTCGTACCCGCCGGGCGAGCCCGCGTTCCACTCCTGGTGCCACGCGTTGAGGATGAAGAACATGGTGGTCCGGAACGTGTACTGGCGCTGGTAGAACGTGAGCGTCGACCGCGGAGGGACGGTAATGGTCATCGTCTTCGTGTCCGTGGACGTCGTTTCCTTTGTCGTGAACGTCTTCGTCGAGGCGTCCATGCCGACCGAGAGGCCCTCGAATGCGGCGCCTACGTGCACGGCGACTGTGACCTCGGTGCCCTGGGTGACCTTGAGCTCCGTCGTGTAGCTGTGCTCGTACACCTGTGCGGCGTCGGTGCGGTTCTCCCAGGAGACCTGACGCATCCAGGTGGCGTCGACGAGGTAGGTGTCCACGGCAGCGTATAGGCCCTCGTTACCGGAGTGGGTCACGATGGTGGTGCGTTCAGATTTGATCAAGGCATCACCGCCCGCGGGTTTGCTCACGATGTACTGGTAAGATATCAGTAAAGCGTCGTTGTTGGAGGACGAAAAAAATGTCACCTTGCTCATGATGAACTGTGAGACGGCGTCGACTCGAGAAAGGTCTGGTGCTGTGGTAGCGATGGAGGATGGCGATGCACACCGGGTTGGCGTTAGAAATGCTGGTTAATGGCAGACAGATCTAGTATATAAGTGCACAACAAACGCGCGTGAGCCGTCAGTCCTGCGGGAATAACTGGGGCATCCTCGCGGCTCAGTACATCTTCTCACATCGGGTGTTTCATGCTGCCGAGTAAAGAGAGTCAGACACCGGAGGTCAAGGTAGAGGAAGGATACTAAATCTTACCATTTGCATGCCGGGAGCACGGAGCCCACGGTCACATTTACGCGAGACAAGCATGGCGCCCCGGGCTTAGTTGCGGCGTAGACACAGGAGGTGGTAAGACCGTGGAAGGGAGAGTGCCCTGGCTTCGCTAAGCGGCGGCGCAATTCAAAGAGGAAGCGAGTAAGCTTGAGGCGCGGGTGACGGGCTCTTCGGGCTGACGATTGACGGCATAATCCTGTAGTATACCGAACACTTTATAGCAGCTGTCTCTCCGGCGGCATGGAGGTGCCGCCATACCCATTGCTTACCACCGGTCCTCGTCCTCGTCTGTCATGCGGAGACATACGTGTCACCGGACGTGCTTGACTCCGGTCGCTGCTCTGCACAGACAAACATCTATGCCAGGAGTGCCAGGTTTCGGGAGCAAGCAGGAGTAGAAAGCCTGGTGGCGACGAATGTTAGCAAGGAGCTCATCAAGGTCGCGGAGGCTTGAGCGGCTGTAGAAAGAGCGCGTAGGTAGGGGGCGTTCATCTGTGCACCCGCCATGTCCGGTCAAAAAAAATGCGGCATCATCATAATCTGTGAACGTGACATGGTACAGGTTCAAGCGGTGAGTATATCAGTGCACTACATGCGCATCGCAATTTACAGGGTCTCTTGTGGATGAGCGACGAGCTTCGTCCCGCTCACCTGGTCGTTCTTCATGCGCTCGAGGCCGTCGATGATGCCTGCGAGGCCATTAGGAACGACCTCGACACGGTTGGGCTAGTGTAGTGGACAGCGAGTCAGCCCACCTGCCACTATATGCTAGGATTGACCAAACGTACCACAACCTTCCCGGTCTCGAGCCACTCCGTGAGCCGACTGTACAGCGCGACACCGACCTCCCTGTTCTCCGGAGTCTGCACGTTTCCAAACGTGGCGACGATCGTCTTGTTGTCGCCCGCTTTCTTCGCGGGGATGATGTCGGGGAGGGACAGGACGAGGTACCCGCCGGGCGCGAGGACGTCGTACGCGAGTGGCTGCGTGTCTGCGAGAGAGATCGCGTCGTAGACGAGCTCGACGGGCTTTCCCCCTGCGATCCTGGAAACTTCAGCCTGGATCGCGGCTGCTGGGAGCGTGCGGTCAATGACATGTGTCGCGCCGAGAGACTTCAAGAATGCCTCGTGGCGGAGGGAAGCAGTTGCGATGATGGGCGAGAACCCGGAAAGCTTCGTGACTTGAATAGCTGTACAGATATCCAGGTTGAGTCAGAATGCAATGCGTAGATGTGGAATGTGGGCGTACCGTACTGGCCGACGGAAGACGCGCCACCGATAATAAAGACGGGCTTTTCGGCGAACTTGGTGATACCGCCTTCTTCCCAAGGAGCAGGGAAACCGACGCTGATGGATTTGGCCTGTGGGTTATGGTTGTAGAGACCGGTCACGACAGTAGCGAGAGCGAGAGGGACTGTGGCCGCTTCATCTGTAGAGATATTATTCGGAATCTACAGCATTACATAGGTCAGCGTAAAAGCCTCGAATTTGGCAGAACGAGCAGCAAATCTCACCTTCGCCGCAATCTCAGCCGCGACGATAGCATAGTGTTGGAAGGTAGCTCTCGGATTGTCGAACCACCCTTGAAAGAGGCTGTAATAGAGTAAATTCCAGTTCGCCTGCATCGTGTGCACGTAGACAATCTCGCGAGGGCACTCACATTCTGTCTCCTTTCGCGAAGTTCGTGACTTCCGAACCGACCTCCTCGACGATCCCGGCGGCGTCCGTACCGCCAACGTAGGGGAAGTCCTTCACAAAGTAGCCGAGCAACTGGATCTTCCAGTCTACAGGGTTGAGCGCGGTGGCAGTGATCTTGATGAGAAGGTCTTTCGGGCCAGGAGTGGGCACGGGTCGCTCGCGGATGACCCACTGGTGACTGTGTTCATCCAGAAGGAAGAGAGCTTTCTGAGTAGTGGGGGCCATTGTGTGATATCAAAAGTAGTCGAAGAGAGTGAGGTGAGTGAGGCAGTCGATGTGGAATGGCGAATTGCGTACTAGTACTTATTCGATGGTGTTTATTTCTAACCCGCAGCGTGGTATATTATCAAGCACTCGTGCTGCGACAGCGATGTGCCCTGCATGCGTCAGCTACATTGAAGATGGAATAGTGGCGCCATCATGAAGTAGAGAGTGGATGATTAAGCAAGAAGCGAAGCAAGTAGGGCAGCCGAGCCTTAGCATGGTTCCGAAAGCGCACAGCACTTACTCACCTTCACGGCAAGCTGAGATAGTCCGGTAGAGGCTAGATATCCCGACAGTCGTACCGTGATGCTTAGAGCATCGCTGGACTTGCACACGAGTCAGCAATGAGTCTATGCATGCCAGCATGAGCGAAGTGACAAGTCTAAGCTTTGCACTACTTGCTCACCCGGGTAAATCTGGTGAGGGAGAAAACCGGGAAAACAATCATATTCTTCCTCAGTGTTGGTGCAAACGTAAAAAGCGGCCGTGAGGAGTTGAAACGTAGAGTATTCCGTTGGTCCCGTACGTCTGGCATCGTGGTACTTCGAAGACAAGTGGATAACGAGTCGCACTGAGCGCCACGGCAAACACCGGCGGACAGGCGCTCGCTCTTTAAGCTTAAGTCTGATCTACTTGCAAGCCCGGTCCGTACTCCATCCTCTGCATCCATCACAGTGCGCCTCGCGAGTCCACAACAATCCAAAGGGTCTGTTCTTCGTCAACCACATAGTCGCTATAGAGACTGGCAGTGTCGCCAGCGTCCGTGTCGTCCGATCCGGACTCGAGTGATTCCTCGCCAGATTCATCACTAGACCCGTGAAGCGGGAATGCGATGCAGCAGCCCCTATTTTGAGCCTTCAGAGGGTGTGGATAGATCGTCCCTTCGCGGACGGCTTGTAAAGCATTCTTGAGGCCATGCCTTCCCGCACTGGCAGGCGGCTCAGGCACCTTTCAAAGGAAAAAGATCCAGTGTATTGACATATCCCACCGACATACATGACTCATTCGAGACGATATTGCTTATACAGCTAGAAAAGGGATGCAGAACCTATACTAGCCATCGCACAGACACATATAGCTACGGGCACTAGACTCGTTGCGTGTGCTCCGACCAGACCAGGACGAAGCTTGGTTCGCCAAATGCTACTGAACTAAAATTGTCAGTTGTCAAAATGCACTCCCTTCCAGATGGGTGCGCGCCCATGAGCGTCGAGAAGCAAATGGGCGTAGGCATTTGAATTTTTGAAACCCCAAAGGGCGAACATTGAACCATGCCGATGATACTCGTCCCACACGGATCAAGCATATCCCACCGACATACATCATGACTCATTCGCGACGATACTATGTATACAACAAGAAATGTGGCCGAAGAGCCTCAAGTTACAGCACAGGCACATGTGACCGCTAGCACCGAACTCGTTGCGAGGGCCTGAACTCCGAAATGTTGGGGGCAAAGCTTCAGGCCCTGGAACGAGGCAGACCTTTTAGCCCTGAACGCAAGCAGCACAAAGCGAACACACGTACCATCAAGCACCAATGCGGTTGAGCGCGTCCCTGGCCCGGGTCGTGAGGCCCGAGCGTGCGACCGTCTGCCTGTCGCTCTCCTTGTTCGCCCGGGGGTAGGTCTTGAACTGCACCGCGCCCGGCGTCGCATTCAGCTCCTTGTCCGTGACGAGATAGTCCCCGCTCCAGATCTCCACAACGCACGTCTTGCGCGAGAGGCCGTCGCCGCTGACCGCGGCAACGTTCCGAGCCACGCTCGCCGTATCCATCACGAAGAACATCTCCGTCCGGAACTTGTAAACGCGCTGGTAGAACATCGCCTTCTTGCCCGGCGCGGCCTCGACCGTGACCGTCTTCGTCTGCGGCGTCGTCGTCTCGTCCGCCGAGAACGTTTTGATCGAGGCGTCGATGGTCATGGTGAAGTCCTTGAAGGAGGCGACGAGGGGCACGCCGCCGTTAGTCACCTCCGAGCCTTGGGTGACCTTCAGCTCGGTCGTGTACTGGTGCGTGTGCGACTGTGCGGAGCCGGTCGTGTTCTCCCAGGAGCCTTTCAGCACCCAGGTCATGTCGGTGCAGTAGGTGTCGGCGGCAGCCTGCAGCGCCTCGACCGCGTGATTGTAGTAGATCGCCAGGAGCTTCGTGTTGACCAAGGCGTCGCTGTCCGGCCTGACCACGAGTGCCTGGGAGAATCCGGTGTTCTGATCATGCATATGTATCAGCATACCATCGAAGCTTGACGGGGGGCAATAGAATAATCCTTACTACGTTCATGATGGCTTGCGTTAGGTTCTCGAGAGCGGGTAGGCGTAAGAGTATCGGTGGACGTGCTGCGACAGAGGAGGGGCTGTTGCTGCTGAGCGTCGGTGAGCCCGGGCGCGGTATTTAAACACATCTCGAGCGGGCCTGTCCCTTGCACGGACAACTCTCTCGGGACAATTGGTGCTTGCTCACCGTTCATCACGTCTGCTCAAAGCGGCTTCGCATGAGCGGCGTCTGAGTGCTACCGAGCAGCCCGAGTCAGACGACGACAGCGCACGAGAAACCAGGAGTCCAAATCCCGTCTACAAGCGGGGTGCTGGAGTCCAGACAATGTGTACGTATTCGGGCGACGCTACATATGCTTCAGTGACATGTGCGGAGAAGGGAAGGTCACCGTGCGGGAGTCCATGAAAGGAGATTCGCTATATGCAGCGACGGGGTTCAGATGATAAGGCGGCCATGCTTATTCTATGAGCAGGCCAGGGCCGCCAGATCGATTCGTGTACAATTTGAGGCTTTCGTTTCCGCCCAGAGATGGCGGCGGCGGCGGTTGCGTAATATGGAGCGAATACCGAGGGTCAGACGACGAGAGTGCACGATGCGGAACGAGTGCCAGTTCCCTTTTACGAGCGATTGGGGTGCAGGGGACGCATGCGCGGCATTCTGGTTGAATTAAATTGCGGAGGGAGCTTCGTAGCAGTGCGACCAGTAGATGAGCCAGAAGACACGCCGTACCTCGCTACCTGCAGACACGGTCTTTAGCAAATAGATCCGGAAGGAAAAGAAACTACTCAATGGGCACCAACTCGAGCTTGCACGAGCATTTGCAATTGTCATGGCTGATCTATAGAAGAGTCGATGCATCAGATATCATCCCGTCAGTGCGGCGTGGAGGGCGGTGGAGGATGGCTCAGATTCTGGGGCATCCGCTACGTCCAGGCGAGCTCACGATCGTCACAGGAGTACAACGTGGGGCCGTCGCATTCCCTGGCAAGAGAGAAAGAGAAGGAAATACTTACCTCGGCGGACTGCGTAGACAAAGCATGAGTGACATTACGTCAGTACGTCGACTGGAAATTTGACGAGGCACAATATGGATGCGCTTGGTCGCTTGGACAAGTAGAGCAGTGAGTCTGCCAATGCTGTAGAGTGAGGGGTATAGATATATCATCATGGCGATGACACACAGCTTTAGTAGTGACGTGTGCGGATAACGGAAGCCCACGGTGCTGGAAGAGAGGCTCGGTGTTGGAGCAATTGAGAGAGATTCCGTTGGTCCCGAACGTGCCGTCGTGGTACGAAAACAGAGGGATTAACAACAGCGTCTAGTACTAAAAAGGGTTTCGTGCACGATACATACTGAACGCCGGCGAGCAGGCGCTCGCTCACTCGAACCCAAAATCCAACCGTAAGGTATACTCACCAGATGATGTACAGGAAGATGGCTGATCGGTTAGCGTTGAATTTGGGGCTTTCGTAGAAGCACATCTGTGGCTACGTCACTAAAACGCGTCGGAAGAGTGGCTGTCTGAAGGCCCGGGATAGTTGTAAGTAATTGATAATATGAAGGTAGAATAATGATAGACATAGCGCTACAGAATGACAGACAAGGCAATGCCACCAGCACCTGCACTGGGCAGGGGTGTGCACGGTTGAGTGACCTCAAAAGTACAACAAAAGGACATGTCCCAGAGACTTCAGTCGCGACGATAAGTATATGTAGCGGGCATCTCCTCATCCACAGTTTCATACCCGTCCTCCCGTCTCCCCAATTCGTTGATGTACGCCAGGCTCAGCGTGCCACTACCCCACTCGGGCGTGTCTTCCTGGTGAGCGACCTGCACCCGGGCCGAGCCATGATGCTTGCGGTGGTGGGGTTCCCGTGTGGCACGATCGTAGTCGTTATACTGGTCGTCCGGGTTCGAGACGTGCAGCCCTAGCCCCCTGGACCCGCGGCGCTCCTTCACAGGAGCCTCAACCTTCTTCGTGACGGACGCAGGCATGCGCTTCCTCTCTCGCTCCCTTTCCCGTTCCTGCTCCCGTTCCCGCTGCGCTACGAGCTCGGCCACCTCGCGCTTCTCCGTGTTCGACGTCCAGCTCCCCTGCGCGCTGATGCTTCCGCTGTCCGAGTCACTTCCGTGGCTGTAGCCCAACTCCGGCTCGTACAGGTGTGCCTCGTCTGCGTGCTGCCCAGGGCTCGGCATGGGGCCGATCTCGCGCCGCTTCTCGCGCCGGGCGCGCATGCGGGCGAGGCTACGGCGGCGCTCTTCCATCCACGCTTCCTCTTCCTGGGGCGAAAGAGTGGGCGCTCCGTCAGGTGCCGTCGGGATGGAGAAGTGGTATCCCGCTCCCATGAGGACGTCGAGGATGGGCGCATGAGACCGAGTGGTGGTCATGCGGTGCGCGAAGGAGCAACCGAGGCTGGCAGTCGAATCGTCAGCGATGGATGGTGAGGGTTATCCTGAGCGTCACTTACCCCGGGCCCAGGACGAATTCGCCACCGAGCTGAGATGCATCGCCACCCTTCTCCCAGACCGGCATGCCAACACGAAGCGCGTTGCGCACGACCATGGCGAGACCACCGATGGGGCCATGCCGGCAGTAGTCGCCCTTCTCGCTGTCAGGGCCCGGGTCGTTCGTACGGAGCGTCATCCCCAACGCTGCATGCAGCCGGAGGGAAGGATCGGTGAACATAGGGATGGGCGTACGGAAAATGTCTACAATATGACTGATGTCAGTGGTGCCACGTAGTATACAGACGGTCAACACGTACGTCGATATGATTTGATCATGCCATGGGAGCCATTGCCTATGAGGATGAAGTCGATCCCTGCGCGTTTCAGAGCCTCGACGTCCACGTTCCGCGAAATGGAATACATGTAGTCCTGGCAGTTCGGGCACCTGCACACACGTCAGCAAACGCGCACTCTGCACAGCACCTTGAATAGAGAACGCACCAGAAATGCCGGATGAAGATCACGATCGTCCTCCGGTCCCTGAACAGCTCCCCGAACTGCACGCGGAGGCCATTCTGCGCAATGACAGTGAGCGCCGCCGCGCGTCCGATCTGCTCCCGGGAGAGTCCCGCATACTCGTCGAACGTCACCACAGCAGGCTCCTCCTTCCGCCGGTGCTGCCTGCGCGCCTCGCCGGACGAGCGCGGGGGCGCAGAGCCGCCGCGCGCCGGGCCGTTCCGCGTGTGCCGCCCTGCGTTAGTCGACCTATACGGGTGCGAGAACGTCGTCGAGGGCGTGTTCGGCAACGGGAGCGGGGTTGACTCCGTCGACGTCGCGTACACGCGGTGCTGCGGCGACGCGACCATGCTCTCGCTCGCGCTGTTGACCGTCGTCCGCCCGAACTCCTCCGTCCCGTTCTCCCCGTCGTGGCTCAGCTCGGACGGCTGTGATTGCATGCGCGCGTGCATCTGCGCCTGTGTCTGCGTCTGTGTGTGCACGTGCGTGTAGGACGACGGTGGTGGAGGTGGAGGCGGGGCAGGGGCGGGCACGCGCGTTACGGTAGTCGTCGTCGGGATGGGCGGAGACTGAACGCGGGACGCGGCGGGCGGGGATTGCGCGCGGACAGCAGCACTGGTGATCGCCGCTTCCTGTGGTGATTGCGCGCGCCCGGGCGGTAGATGCACGGGCGACTGCATGCGGGCGGTCGTGCTAGTGTGCTCAGGGGATTGCGCGCGCGTCGACACGTGATGCGCGGGCGGAGGTGTCTCGGAGCGGAAGGGCTGGTGGGCGTGCTGGCTCTGCGCGACGAGCGACTGGCCTTGCGCTGTTCTGCGCACGGATGCGTACTGGCGAGAGGTAGGATGCGGCGTGCTGGAGGGCTTTGCGCGCGACGAGGGACTCGCCACGGATGACGGTGGGGGCTGTGCCGTCTGCGCTTGCAGGTTGGTGCCGATCTGGCTGGAATGGTATGCACGCTCCTGACGGTCTTCCGAGCGACGCTGCTGCTCCCTTTGTTCGTGTCTGCTCTCGTGGGGCGTCCTCGACCGAGGAGGTTCCGGAACGGGGGAGTAGGACCGCGGGGAGTCTGTCGCGTAACTGGTGAATACAGTCGGCTGAGCGACGGGCGGGGTGTGCTGGCGGACAGGCTCAGGTACCCGCGGAGCCGAGAAACCGCGAGGGAGCTCTTCCAAGTATACAGGCGGCCTGACGCGTGGAGGCGGAGGTAGTGGTGGCTGTGGCAGTGGTGTTGGAAGGTCGTGGTCTATCCTGGAAGGAGGGGAGAGCGGGAGTGGCGCCGGCGTAGGGGGCTCGTCTCGACGAGGCGGAAGAGGAGAAGGAACCCGGCGAGGAGCCGGAGGAGGCGTCGGCGTGTGGTGGCGAGCAGGAGGAAGGGGTGAAGGTATACGGCGAGGAGCAGGTACGGGGGATGCACGGCGTTGCTGGACAACCGGGGAAGGTACTCGGCGAGGCTGAGCGACAACGGCAGGTGAAGGGCGTCGTGGAGGCGCAACCGGCGAGGGACGTCGTGGGGGTGCAGTGGGAGAGGACCGATGTGGAGGTGCAACAGGCGAAGGCACCCGCCGAGGTGCCGGATCTGATCTCGGAGGAGCGGGCGGGAACGTTATTGTCGGTGCGGGGTACTGTGGCGGGATGGGAGATGGCGAGATGAGAGGCACGACCACCTGCGGCGGTATAGGTGAGAACGCGGACGTGGGCCGGGAAAGCAACGGGTTAGACGATAGTGGCGGAGACGGGGACGATTGCTCGTAGTCATGTTCATCAGGGTGAAAGTGCATAGAGCGTAGTAGCAGCGCGTCCGCCTCAGGTGAGGGCGGGAGACTCTCGGGAGGTAGAGAGCTCGAGTACGCGCTTCTTACCGTGTCTGGCGGTGTGCGATGGCCATCGCGGATATGATGGCGAGGTGGCTCCGGAGACGGAGGGGACCGAGACACACGCATCGACCGCTCGTCCCTGGGCGGAGTTGGGAGGCGCGTGTCTTTCCGTATGGGCGGTAGCGGCGAGTCCTTCTTCGGCAAAGGAGTAAGCTCCAGTGCTTGTGCGACTGTCTGTGGCTGCTGCAGTGGCTGGGGAGCTTGGGGTCGGGGCGCATACACAGGCATAGGAGGATGGGGCGGCAACAGCTGAGGTGAAGGCCCGCCATACTCGTCCGAGTCGGGGTAAGCGACGAGCGTACTCGCCATGCTCACATTGTCCACCGGGGAGGGCGAGGGGCCGAAGACGAGGTTGGGCAAGGGCGTGATCCCCAGGCTGACATGACTCAGACTCTTCCGGTGCGCCATCTTCGCCCGCTTCCTCCCCTCGGAAGGGCCGTCGGCGCCCGAGGCTCGCACTACTTCGGGCATATCGTGCGAGTGGCTCGATTCTGCCTCTCTGTCCCTGTATGTGGCTGTGCTCCTGCTCTCGGACGAACCCTGAACGAACGAGCCGCGTACCGTTGAATCGCGCACATGCAACCTCCTCGTCTTGATTGTCACCGGCGGAGACGGATCGGAGACCTTGCGGTCCCGGCTGTACAGCGACGACCTGCGAAATCTCCTGGAGATGCTATCCTTCCTGTTGACGATGCTCCGACGCCTGTTGCCCCACTCGGGCTCCGGTTCAGACTCACCGCGGGGAAGGCGCGGTCGAGGTGGGGGAACAGGAAGCGGTGCAGGGGAGTCGGGCTCCGTCTTTCCGAGTAGCGAGGGGAAGTCGGACGTGAGGATCTTGGACAAGTTGCGTCCTAGCATCCCGTTGGAGATCACCGTCACTTCAGGTACTGCGTACCCAGCGTCGCTATCGGGCGTAGCATGCTTCGTGGGAGGCGAAGGCGACGGCGGTTCTCGTAGGGCTGCTTCGGGCGATAGGGAGCGCGACCGGTCATGGACGCTGACGCTGTCTGAGGTCAGAGTTCCGTCGTCCGGCGTCATGGGAGGTGTCGGTACGGTATGGACGGAGGACATCTGTTGGTGGGTGTGGGAGTCGACCGTAGACGCAGTGTGGGGTGGGTGGTCTTGCTGATTCCTTTGCCCGTAGACGACGCCATGAGATTGACGATCATCATAGACGTACTGGTTGGACAGATGAGAATCGTCCGGCGCGACTGCGGTCTCCTGTGACGCAAGATCTTGAAGGACTGGCTGCACAGGGGTGGCAGGGAAGGCTGATATAGTTTGCGAGCGCCTGCGGTAGTGATATTCGCGGCTCGAGAGCTTCTCTGACGCTTCCTGATCCCGCTCCTGAGGTCTGCGCGTCGGAAGCGACGAGGAGCCAATATCCGCGTCCGAGAAATAAGACGTAGAATCCCTCGCGGGCCGGGTCCGCGCACGTGGTGGACGCGGTGGCCTGGAGAAATCAGAGTGGTAGCCGTCTCGCAGCTGGTCGAGTGCGTCAATGCTCCTCGCCGCGTGGAGAACGGTTCGGGGAAGCGAGGGGAGGTCGGGTAGTGCGTGCTGGTTCAGACGGACATGGTCCACTGGCATAGGCGGCGTGTGCGTCGGCGTAGAAGTGGACGGGTTGGTACCGCCATATTTCTGAGACGAGTGGGCGCGCTCTCGTAAAACTTGGAGGGGCGCGAACGGATCGGTGGGGTCCGGAAGGGGGTACTTGGGCGAGTAGGGGAACGCCGGCGGCGGTTTGCGCTTGATCCTAGAGGCCGAGCGGGTGTCAGAAAGAGTGGCCATGGCGTCCAGCGCTATTTGCCCGAGCACGGTGAGGGATGGAATGGCCCTGGAGAGCAGTAGCGACATCCCTCGGGGAGGGCATGCATACCTTTATGTAAACGCGACATGCTCGTGTCGGCGGTGCGGCGAGGAGATTAAACATCTTCGCCGCGCACCACACGGGGGAAGAGCCCGGTACAGCAACGCTGCTTCCGCGCCGCGCCTGTGCAGTGGACTTGCGTGACCTGCCTCGGGGACAACCTCTGCCAATTGGGGCCGATCGAGCTTCGGTGCTGGCGCTGATCCGTGTTCAACTCAATCTAGTCGGGAACACAAACATCCGCCGACATTTGAAGACCCGCGAAATGAAAACAAGATGTGTGTATAACA